TCGTGTTGAGGGTCAGAGTGTTGTTGCCTACCTTCACCATCTGGGGGCGGCCCATCAGGAAGTCCAGGATCCAGTTGCAGAGGGAGGTGTTCAGTCCCAGGGTCCTGAGCTTAGTGATGAGCTTGAAGGGCACTTTTGTGTTGAAAGCTGAGCTACAGTCAATGAACAGCATTCTCATGTAGGTGTTCCTCTTGTCCAGGTGGGAGAGGGCAGTGCAATAGAGATTGCGTCATCTGTGGATCTGTTGGGGCGGAATGCGAATTAGAGGCTCCAGGGTGTCTGGGAAGATTGTGTTGATGTGAGTCATGACCAGCCTTTCAAAGCATTTCATGGCTACAGATGTGAGTGCTACAAGGCGATAGTAATTTAGACAGATTACCTTCGCGTTTTTGGGCACAGGGACAATGGTGGTCTGCTTGAATCATGTAGGTATTACAAACTGGGTCAGGGAGAGGTTGGAGACAAGACAAAGTCAGTGAAGACAATTGCCAGCTGGTCAGCGCATGCTCTGAGTAATCTGACTGGCCCCGCGGCCTTGTGAATGTTAACCTGTTTAAAGGTCTTACTCACATCGGATACGGAGAGCGAGATCACACAGTCAGGTTCCCACATCGGTTTTCAGAGATTGATGACTCTTTACTTTTTCAACATACACTATATATACAGCCGAGTGCTGAAGCGTGTAGCGTGTAAAAATCGTCTGTCCTCGGTTGCAACACTCACTACCGAGTTCCAAACGGCCTCTGGAAACTGTTCGTCCGGAGCTTCATGAAATGGGTTTCTATGGCCGAGCAGCCGCACACAAGCCTAAGAACACCATACGCAATGCCAAGCGTCAGCTGGAGTGGTATAAAGCTCGCCGCCATTGGACTCTGGAGCAGTGGAAACGTGTTCTCTGGAGTGATGAATCATAGCATCTGGCAGTCCGACGGACAAATCTGGGTTTGGCGCATGCAAGGAGAACGCTACCTGCCCCAATGCATAGTGCCAACTGTAAAGTTTGGTGGAGGAGGAATAATGGTCTGGGGCTGTTTTTCATGGTTCGGGCTAGGCCCCTTAGTTCCAGTGAAGGGAAATCTTAACGCTACTGCATACAATGACATTCAAGACGATTCTGTGCTTCCAACTTTGTAGCAACAGTTTGGGGAAGGCCCTTTCCCGTTTCTGCATGACAATGCCCCCGTGCCCAAAGCGAGGTCCATACAGAAATGGTTTGTCGAGATCGGTGTGGAAGAACTTGACTGGCCTGCACAGAGCCCTGACCTCAACCCCATCGAACACCTTTGGGATGAATTGGAACGGCGACTAAGAGACAGGCCTTACCGCCCAACATCAGTGCCCGGCCTCACTAAGGCTCTTGTGGCTGAATGGAAGCAAGTCCCCACAGCAATGTTCCAACATGTAGTGGAAAGCCTGTTATAGCAGCAAAGGGGAGACCAACTCCATATCAATGGCCATGATTTTGGAATCAGATGTTCGACGATCACATACTTTTGGTCATGTAGTGTAGTGTATCATGTAGTGTATCAAATAACCAACAACCAATTTGACAAGAACTTTACATTATTTCGCTTCAAGCGGTTTAATCCTCCTGAACCTAGTCAGGCTGCCACATCTTTTTTCAGAGAACATCAAATAACCAATCATTACTTAATTAACAACATTTTCATAAACCTGTTTGACAAGGACATTACATACAGTACATTTATTTGGAATTGTGATGTTTTCATAAAAAGAAAAGGCCCCGAGCTTAAACAGCCCTAAAAGCTCATGGGTCCCTCTCATGTTGTAGCACAGTTGACACTCCAACCTTTCCAGGGACAGTGGCTGCATCACTATTGCCAGATAAGGGCTGTGTGGCCACTGACACCAGGGAAAAGAGGAGAGGTTATGGTGGTGGAAGGAATGTGGGTGACAGTGACAGGAGGCTGGGTAAAAGGTGGGTAGGGGAGGGTCTCTGCTCCGTTGTGTGACTGGCTACATAGCAGTGCCTGCGTGTTTGCGCCAGGCTGTAAACTCATTACCACCAACATGAGCACAGGGGACAGAGGGCTACAGGGCAACTGACTTGTGCAGACACATAATTTAACCCGCCCTTTAAAACTGTCCACTTTATATGACCCCAAGAGACATGAATAGGCTTCCATTTTACTTTACAGCAGAAACCTCATTAACAACAGAATTCTGACACGTTGCAGTGTACCAGTTCTTTCTAATGGCTCACAGTAAGCTTTATCATTAATATTCACTGCAATGTCTGTGTTAGTGTGTTGAGTAGATGTTGAGTAGTGTGTGTGTGTAGAGGTGTGGGTGTACTCTCAGCACATGCAAAAGCAGTGTTTGTGTGAGTGTACTCTGTGTGCACGCAAAAGCAGCCACAGGTGTGCATACTATGTGACTGAGGTCATGAGGGGTAAAGTGAGAGTGCTCAGCTGTCCACTCAGATCAGTGTGAAAGGAGAGCATGCTGGGATGATACTAAATGATACCGTAGTGGGCATAGCAACACACACACACACACACACATGCTGTTAGCAACGCAACCTTCAACTGAACTTACCCAATGAACACAAGATGTTGAAAAGACATTGAATAGTAGTATTTCTGGTTGGAAAGACATTGAAAATACATCTTTCAAACAATTTCTCACCAGGTGCTATGTTCAAAATACACTCCATAAACAACACGGGTCCTCACACCTGAAAACATATTTATTTCTTTTCTATACAGTGTATTGCTCCATTTCACAATAGTGCAAAGTTTCTCCATACATTTTCTCGATAAATATAACATATTAGAAATAAACAATGCACATCACATTGAACAATAATGTGTTAACTAAAAAAGCTACAGTCACATTGACATTGCATTTAATCTGAGAATTTGGGTAATTCCTTATTTACATTTGATTCAACGAAATGGAGGCCAAGTTCTTGTGTGGTTGTGTGTGGATTTCACTCATGGTACATTATGAGGTCACACTAACCCAGCGGGCAAAATTTGGCATGGGACGTTATAATGACGTTATTTTCGGGTTGTAAATAGGTTTTCTGGTTATAGAGACGCCTGCTAAAATACCAGAAGTATTTATCTGGTCGCTAAAAAGACGTCTTAAAACAATCTGTATACAACCTGACCATGACGTCACAGAAGATGTCACTGCAACCACTTTTGCGCTTTGGGAACAAGACACTTCACCATTAATGGAGATAATACTCTGCATTAGACAATCAGAGCTATATTTTCTAAGGGGATCTTTCTAGAACTAACCGTTACTGGGGGTTTTCAGAAAAACAAAACCAGATCAACAAAATCCTTTGAAAAAAGGAAAATAAATAACTTCTCAGAAGTTTTACATTTTATCACACTGTGCTACATAGCCTGTTTATTGAACCGAGTCAAAAACTAAAATTAGGACTTGTGGTGTATTATACCCTTGGCTGACACAGCTCTTTAACCTCAGGTAAAGTGTCAGTATTGAGTATGTAGAAACAGCTTAATTTCCTTAACCAACCAGCCTTTGCTTTGATGTGTGCCATTTTGTGGAACTTCCAAAGAATGGTATTATCTGATAGACGTGTTCCAGAGTATCGTTAGAGCTTAGAGTTATAATACATGTTGTCACACGTTTACTACATAAACATTGCTGTGGTAAGTTTGGATCCTTTTCAACAATACAGGAAGAGGTATTATGAGGGAAAGTACAAAATGAAGAGTAAGTAACACAAAATGACAGCACCATAAGCGTTTCCACATTGACATTACCGCAGTTAGTGTCAAGTATTAAGATTAGTGTTGTGTTAATTTGCTAACACATTACTTGAACTTTCTGCTCTGTAGCCATTTCAAAGCTGTCATAATCGTGATACCACTATGTGTTTATGAATGATAATGATCTATACAATGGATTGGGGGTCTTCTAATTAGCTAGCGGACAAGCAAGCTTGCATACCATAGCCTTCCACACAACAGTATTGGACATCAGTTGCAATAACTAATAAATCGGTTGTGTCATACATTTGGCAGTGACAAGGCGACTTTTGAAAAAAAAAATGTCAGTCAAGGTACCAACTAACAAAAGAATAAACACTGCATGAAAAAAATAAACCTCTTTCTTTTAACTGTTGTCCTTTACAAATAATAGAGATATTTCAGTTGACCTCTGCCCGTATTCAAAAAGTGTCTCAGAGTAGGAATGCTGATCTAGGATTAGTTTTGCCTTTTAAATCATGATGAATAAGGGGGGAACCTGATCCTAGATCAGCACTCCTATCCGGAGATGCTTTATGAATACAAGCCCTGATACTCAATGCTCAAACTGAACTACACAAACTGAACAACTAACAATTTCCCACTTTTGACATCCTCTCTGACACACTTCCATCAACGATATGCACAACAAAATAAAAACAATACGGCACTCAAGTTGTAGCAGTGGTCCATTTGCTTTTCACAAAGCATCTTTGAAATTGTCTGAATATATTAGCTATATATATTTTTACGTTAAATAAATAATTCAACATCATATTATCTGTTCTAATATAAAAAAAAAAAAAGAAGGATTTCAACTAATTTACAGTTTCGAGTAACGATAGATCTCGAATCAATAGCTACATTCTTTTTTTCTTCTTCTCCAGCTGGTTGGTTGAGGTTTCCCCTAGGTACAGATCTCGGATCAGCTTCCCCTCCCCAATACGAACCTTAACCATTTAAGGAGAAAATTCTGGAAAATGTCTAGGGGCAACATCACCCTATTACACAAGGCTCGTCCGTAGGGTAGGACGGTAAACAACATTGCCCGTTAATGCCACCTAGTGTGACACATACAGAAGCACTACTCATTTTTATTCCTGCCTGCCAGGACACAATGTCAGTAAACATGCATGGCAAAACCAGTCGATAGCTACATTCCTAATTTAAAATTATTAATTTATATTTATATTTATATTTATATATATATATATATATATATAAATATTTTTTTGCAAAAAAAATATTTTTGGGGAGGACAGTACACATGATACACAAAGTGACCGTCTCGGTTCAGAGACTGTGTTTCAAGCGCTGAATTGCAAAGGGATGGAAGGAGGATGGTGTTTTTTTCCAACATCTTTATCTGAGGAAAACTCTCCTGTGTTCTTCAATAGACTAGAAGCTGGTATCTTTACGGTAATACAGTGAGACTTCAGGGAAAGACCGCACAAGATCCAGCAGCACCCTCTGTGTGTTTCTCTCTCCATCTTTCACTCTTCCTCTCTCTCGCTTTTCCCATCACCTCTTCTCCCTCTAACTGTACCCTCCCACTCTCTCTCAAGCCCTTCTCTCCACTCTCCCTCTCGCTACCTGAATCAAGTATATGCATCCTCTCACTCCCTCCTCTTCACACAGAGCAGTTGCGTCTCTTGCTGGGGCCTGGCTGTGCGGTGGTGGCGGCAGCGACCGAGGCCGAGGCGGGGGTTGAGGCTGAGGTCAGCCAGTGCCTAGCCCCGTGTCAAAGGCTGGTGGAGGACACAGAGAGCGTGGGCGACGAGGGCGGTGGGAAGTTGAGCAGCTCTAGGACGGCCACGCCCACACTGCTGCGCCGCGTGAACATGCAGGAGGCCGCCACCCACTTGTTGCTGCGTGGGTTGTACTTCTCGATGGAGTTGAGGCTGGAGCTGCCGTCATTGCCGCCCACAGCGTACAGCCAGCCATCCATGGTCACCAGGTCGTGGGTACTCCTGCGGGAGGACAGGACAACGTGCAGACTCAGTAATAGCTCAGGCACACCACAAAGACTAAAAGCTAAAAGCAGCGGGTGGCCGCAGTGTGTTAGCAATCACCTGCTGGGTGTCAACAAACAGTGGTGATTCAACATGTAGAATTGTCGGGAAATGAACTGAAAAGTACAGCCGATGTTCTGTGGTCAGAGGCGATAGGATGGCCACCCGCTTTTTTCCTCTTGGTTCCATTGCAACAGGCAAGCTCAATCAAGTACAGTGTTTAAAATGAACTCAAATAGTATTTTAACGCAGGTCTGCTGGCCATTCAGTAATATTAATTGATCAATTAACTATTAGGCAGAAAAGAAAACCAGAAGGACTTCCCTGCCTAGCCTGTTGCTAAAGACTGAGCTCACTGCAGTGTAAATGGAGGCCTGGGGCGTATTCATTAATGCACAACGTAACAAAACGACTTGCAACGAAAGGTGAAAAAAGGTGTTTCTTATGGACAAATTAAGGCAGATCCCTCCCTGTTTCGGCCAGTTTGCTTCCATTTGGTTCCTATTGAATATGACTCTACTGAGACTAGATCAGGCTCTAGATGAATATGAGCCATACTACTGATTACAGCAATGGTTTATTTATAGGGCCGGGAGCGTCCACTGTTGTCAGGTTTCCCTGCTCAAATCCTTTCTTATTGACGCTGTCTGTCTCCCTTTGTGTGTGTGTGTCTGTCTGTGTATGTTTGTGTGTGTGTGTGTGTGTGACACTAATTTTAATCTCCAAATCCTGGTCTCTGAGGCCCATTGTGTATGCAGGTTCCTCCAGAAACCCAGATAATTTGCTGAGTAAGGGCTGGAATGAAGGAATGAAAACCTAAAACCAGCCTTTATGCATTATAAAGGCATTTATGAGGAGCAATATGGCTCTATGTATGCATTGATTATGCAGTTATAGCTAGAGGTGGTTGGTAGTAATTGTGATGCGGCTGGCGGTGCCCACCTGCGGATGTTCATGGGCGCCACACCCTCCCAGGCGTTGGTCTTGGGATTGAATCGCTCCACCGAGTTTAGGCAGCTGGTGCCGTCGTTGCCCCCGGCGACGTAGAGCATGCCCTCCAGCACGGCCACCCCGGCACTGCTGCGCCGACTCAGCATGTTGGCGATGGCCGTCCACGCGTTACTCTGTTCCGACCAATCATAGAGGGTTGTTGGGAGTCACATGATCAGTTTTGAGCAACTTATCAGTGATTGTTGAGGTTGAACTCAAAACTTAGCTTCTACTTTTTGATCTGGGCAGAAGTTCAGCTTTATGGTCCGGTTTTAACCAGATTAAGCCTACTCATGGACATTAAATATAGCCTGGTTGAACCAGCCTGATCACTACGTTCACCATTCTATTTAACAGAATGGTGAACGCAGCAATCAAGTTCGTTCCACCAGGCTACTGAAAATCATGCTCAGTTGAGATTCTTCTATAGGCTTAATCTGGGTCCAGGAAACTGGCCCTATGTCTTAATGTGCATATTGTAGAGATCTGTCCGTTTGTTTGTTTATTACCTGTGGTTCATATTTCTCCACTGTTGCTAGGTGTGAGGAGCTGTCATATCCTCCTACTGCATACAGACTGCCATCTAGAGAGAGAGAGAGAGAGAGAGAGAGAGAGAGAGAGAGAGAGAGAGAGAGAGAGAGAGAGAGAGAGAGAGAGAGAGAGAGAGAGAGAGGAAAAGAGAGAGCAAAAGAAAGAGAGAGTGAGTGCCGTGACAATAAGCTCAAAACGCTACATTTCAGCTCGCAAAAATAAAAAATGTTTGATGAGGCCCATATTTACTAGGAAGCGGGTAGTAGGCCAGGGATGGGCAAATTTGATGGGGGTGGGGGCCACAAAAAATTGGAACTCATCATGAGGGGCCGCAGTGGCTCATGGATCTGTGTACCGGCATCCACACCCAAGTATGCAGTCAGAGCCGGCCCTAGCCTTTTGGGGCCCCTAAGCAAAATTTAGTTGGGGCCCTCCCCACCTTGTGAGCAAAACATTTTAGCAGTCCCCTTGACAGCAAAGATACGTTTTAGAGTTAATTTCCTGCAATTCTACTCATTTTGCCGGAGACAAATGTTTTTAATATGATATCTTTTGATCAATGGGGGGCCCTGGTAGGTAATTCGACCATGATTACTACAAGTTTAGCAGAAAGTTTAGATAGCTAGCAAAAATGTTAGCCGGAATTGGCTAATTGAATGACTGTCAGTTACTGACATAACAAGAGAAGAACTGCTGATGCACAACCAAAATTTGAAATTGCACCATGTATAATCCATTATTCTATAACAGTAAATTGAGACCCCAACTGAGTTCCCCCCCAAAAATATCAGCGGGCCTACTAAAGGGGGTGGCCCACCAGTTGCCCATCCTTGCTCTAGGCTAACATACAGTAAGTATATCCTTTCTCAATAGGTGACATCATCACACAAGAGGTGGACAACACTTGCTCACCTAGAGTAGCCACACGGACGTATCTCCTTCTTGTGCTCATGGCAGAGATGGAGGTCCAGGTACTGGTGAGAGGGTCGTACCGCTCTGCACTGTTGGGGTGGAGGGGGGCATTCATTATATACATTTATGGAGTACAAACGTCATGTCATCTTAGTATTTGCATCCGTGACAGTCAAAATCTGTTGTGACAAAGCCCTATGGACTATAGTCAAAAGTAGTGCAGCATGCAGGGTGCCATTTTGGACACAAGGCTTATAATTATTATTATCTATATATTTCTTTATGTACCTGTTGAGACAGGAAGCTCCGTCGTAACCACCGGCGGCGTACAGGAGGCCGTGCAACACTGCCACGCCCAGACAGCTCCGCCGTGTCCCCATGGAAACCTCAGGTTGCCAGGAGTTGGTGACAGGGTCGTAGGACTCCACGGTGGCCAAATCAGAGGTGCCGTCATACCTGAGGGAGACAGAGTATATCAGAGAGAGAAGTGTATCTAGGCCAGGGATGGGCAACTGGCGGCCGGCGGATCAGTTGGGGTCTCAACTTACTGTTGAGAGTTAGAATAATAGACTACACAAGGTGCAATTTCGAAATTTGGCTGTGCATCAGCGTCACTCAATTAGCCCATGTCAGCAAAAAACATGATTTTGTTAGTCTACCGATCTAAACTTGTAGTAAGCATGGTCAAATTACCAACCAGGGTGGGGCCCATTGATCATCAGTTATCATATTAAAAATGGCTGACATTTGCCTCCACCCTATGCAAAATGTGTAGAATTGCAGGAAATTAGCTGTAAAACTGCAGATTTTTCTCTCCGACCCATGGCAAATTGAGTAGAATTGCATGAAATTTGTTATAAAATTGCTAAATAACTTTCTCTTCGCTATCACGAAGGGGGGGGGGATACGCAGACCCATGATGAGTTTACATTTTAAATTTTAGTCCCTGATCTAGGCCAACCACCCTGCCGCTAGGGTCTGGGCACATATTCACAAAGGGTCTCAGAATAGGAGTGCTGATCTAGGATCAGTTTTTCTTTTTCGTCATATTGAATAAGACGGGGGAGACCTGCTCCTAGATCAGCACTCCTAGTCTGAGACCCTTTGTGAATAAGGGCCCTAGTTCCTCTTCAGGTTTCTTACTTTAATCTCATCTCAAAAGGAGGCTTTCTTTGTTAAGCAAGTCTTCACAACTGTACTTTGTTAACAGTTAAATACAAGAAACGTTCTTTAAATAAAATAAATTAATCATCTGTTTATCTATTTGACAGGGTATGTCATCTACCTCATTTCCATCAGTAGCACCTGGATAAAACTTTGACATTCCAGACAGTGATAGTAGTGCATCAGATGCTACTTTGTTCTATCTTTCTCTTGATTTACAAAGACAAACGTATCTGTTTTGTTTCCCTCTCGGGTAGAGAAGACGTGCCTTGGCTTCAAAAGTCAGAATTTGCATAATTACACTTGAGGGGACTGCTAATGTTAGTCTACCAACAGTTTCCTCCTACCACAGTTAACTGTTTATCTTATTATACAAATGCCAATAATCCAACATGTTTTCTTGAATGAGAAATTGGATTACAAGATACTGTATCTCACCATATCCTAGTTTCTCTTTCAGACATATTGTAAACTTGGTAACACTTTACTTGACACCCAGCGTCATAACACATTATGACACGGTCATAACCATGTCATAACAGCTAACATAATCTGTTATAATATGGTCATAACACTGCCATGACACATATTTAGACCTGTTGTGACATATATTGCGTTATTTTATGGCCTTTTATGAAACCTACATAAGTGTCAAAACCCACAAAACCTACCACACAAGGCAAAACATTCTATCACACCATAAACATACTGTTTAAACATAGGCTACTGTATGTTATATAAAAAAAAATGTAAATTGACCATGTTAAATTATCATTGTGATTGCACACACATTGATGTCAGACAATCACCTACCCCAATGCTCTGTTGCTGATAACTGGGATGAATGCAGGAGCAGATTTCAGGAGAAGGACGAGACACCTTCTTTTTGACTGATGACTGACATAAGGGCATGTATGTGATAGGCCTATCTTCCTTATATGATTATGATGGTCATAACGCTTCTTGACAGTGTCATAAAGTGTATTTTCTTAGTCCAAGTAAAGTGACACAGGATGGTCATAAAGCTTCATGACAGTGTCATAAAGTGTATTTTCTACAAGATATTTAAAATATGATGAAAAAAACATGACTGTAAATAATTCAATACAACAAAAACAAAGGATTTAAGAGAAACTTTCAAACCGAAAACAAACTTCTTGGCAGGAAAAAACTAATTTGAATAAATGTTGACACTTATGTAGGTGTCATAATCAGCCATAAAATAACACGATATATGTCACAATAGGTGGAAATATATGGGTCATGACAGTGTTATGACCATATGACAGGTTATGAAAAGTTATGTCAGCTGCTATGACATGGTTATGACCGTGTCATAACGTGTTACGACACTGGGTGTCAAGTAAACTGTTACCATAAACTTAAACTGCGCTAGCTAGCATAATTAACACTAGTGTAATCTTCCAGTGTTGAGGACATTGGTTATGGCTTCGAGAATACCCAAATCCAGACCATCTGGAGGTCAAAGGATGGTCTGATGAGGTCATTTATTACCCTCCCACCGCGTACAGCTTGTTGCCAATGGCCGCCACGCCCACCCGTGCCCGCCGAGTGGACATGGATGCCACCATGTGCCAGCGGTCAGTCCGGGTGTCGTAGGCCTCGCAGTCGCCGTGGATAGCAAACAGACTGCCGCCACCTGGGCAAAACACACAGACAACAACAACGTCATCTAAATATCTGAAGCGGTCATTCAAATACACTATATATACAAAAGTATGTGGTCACCCCTTCAATTTAGTGGATTTGGCTATTTCAGCCGCACCCATTGTGGACAGGTGTATAAAATCGAGCAAACAGTGATGCAATCTCCATAGACAAACATTGGTAGTAGAATGGCCTTACTGAAGAGCTCAGTGACTTTTAACGTGGCACCGTCATAGGATGCCACCTTCCAACAAGTCAGTTCGTCAAACTTTTGCCCTGCTAGAGCTGCCCAGGTCAACTGTAAGTGCTGTTATTGTGAATTGGAAACGTCTAGAAGCAACAACGTACAGAAGCCGCGAAGTGGTAGGCCACACAAGCTCACAGAACGGGACCGCCGAGTGCTGAAGCGTGTAGCGTGTAAACATTGTCTGTCCTCGGTTGCAACACTCACTACCGAGTTCCAAACTGCCTCTGGAAGCAACGTCAGCACAAGAACTGTTCGTCAGGAGCTTCATGAAATGGGTTTCCATGGCAGAGCAGCCGCACACAAGCCTAAGATCACCATGCGCAATGCCAAGCGTCGGCTGGAGTGGTGTAAAGCTCGCCGCCATTGGACTCTGGAGCAGTGGAAACGTGTTCTCTGGAGTGATAAATCACGCGTCACCATCCGGCATTCCGACGGACGAATCTGGGTTTGGCGGAAGCCAGGAGAACACTTCCTGCCCCAATGCATAGTGCCAACTGTAAAGTTTGGTGGAGGAGGAATAATGGTCTGGGGATGGTTTTCCATGGGGAAGGCCCTTTCCTGTTTCTGCATGACAATGCCCCAGTGCACAAAGCGAGGTCCATTCAGAAATGGTTTATCAAGATCGGTGTGGAAGAACTTGACTGGCCTGCACTGACCCTAACCTCAACCCCATCGAACACCTTTGGGATGAATTGGAACGCCAACTGCGAGCCAGGCCTAATTGCCCAACATCAGTGCCCGACCTCACAAATGCTATTGTGGCTGAATGGAAGGAGGCTGTTATAGCAGTAAAGGGGGGACCAACTCCATTTTAATGCTCATGCTTTTGGAATGAGATGTTTAACGAGCAGGTGTCCACATACTTTTGGTCATGTAGTGTATCTATAGATATATGGGTATTAAAACACAGTTGGCAACATTTTACTTTTTACAGGTGCAATGCCCTAAAAAATACACAAATATTTCTAGACATGGTAAGCACCAATCTTCTTTTGAATAATTGCTGCATCCAATCTACTTCAAATGTAATGTTTGAAAATGTAATGTTTTATGTATCTGTGAACAAGTTAGCTTTTAACCATGGGCCAAATTCAGGATCCCTATTTTCCTAATGGCGGTCTACAGTTTCAGTAATTTAAGAATGTGTATTTGTTGGGTTTGTATTATAAACACATTACAGTATGTATGTATGTATGCATGTATGCATGCATGTATGTATATACAGTACCAGTCAAAAGTTTGTTCACACCTACTCATTCCTGGGTTTTTCTTTATTTTTTACTATTTTCTACATTGTAGAATAAGCCTGTACATAATACAAATATTCCAAAACATGCATCCTGTTTGCAATAAGGCACTAAAGTAAAACTGCAAAAAATGTGGAAAAGAAATTAACTTCATGTCCTGAATACAAAGCGTTATGTTACGTTTGGGGCAAATCCAACACAACATATCACCGAGTACCACTATTCATATTTTCAAGCATGGTGGTGGCTGCATCATGTTATGGGTATGCTTATCATCACTAGTGAATTTTTAAAAATAAAAATAACACTAATAAAGCTAAGCAAAGGCTAAATCCTTGAGACAAATTCACCTTTCAGCAGGACAATAACCTAAAACACAAGGCCCAGATATACACTGGAATTGCTTACCAAGATGACATTGAATGTTCCTGAGTGGCCTAGTTACAGTTTTGACTTAAATCTGTTTGAAAATCTATGGCAAGACTTAAATGGCTGTCTAGCAATGTTCAACAACCAACTTGACAGACCTTGAAGAATTTAAAAATAATAATGTGCAAATATTGTACAATCCAGGTGTGCAAAGCTCTTAGAGACTTATCCAGAAAGACTCACAGCTGTCATCTCTGCCAAAGGCGATTCTAACATGTATTGACTCAGGGGTGTGAATATTTATGTAAATGTGATATTTCTGTAATTCATTTTCAATAAATTTGGAATAAGTCAAGGGGTATGAATATTTTCTGAAGGCACTGTATGTATGTATGTATGTATGTATGTATGTATGTATGTATGTATGTATGTATGTATGTATGTATGTATGTATGTATGTATGAATAGTGCTATGAAAAAGTATTTGCCCCCTTTCTAATTGTCTCTACTTTTGCATATTTGTGATACTGAATGTTATCAGATCTTCAACCAAAACCTAATATTAGATAAAGGGAACATAAGTGAACAAATAACACAACAATTACATATTTATTTCATAAACAAAGTTATGCAACACCCAATTCCCCTGTGTGAAAAAGTAATTGCCCCCTTACACTCAATAACTGGTTGTGCCAGCTTTAGCTGCAATGACTCCAACCAAATGCTTCCTGTAGTTGTTGATCAGTCTCTCACGTCGCTGTGGAGGAATTTTGGCCCACTCTTCCATGCAGAACTGCTTTAACTCAGTGACGTGTGGGTTTTCAAGCATGAACTGCTCGTTTCAAGTCCTGCCACAACATCTCAATTGGGATTAGGTCTGGACTTTGACTAGGCCATTCCAAAACTTCCAATTTGTTGCTTTTTAGCAATTTTCATGTAGACTTGATTGTGTGTTTTGGATTATTGTCTTGCTGCATGACCCAGCTGCACTTCAGCTTCAGCTCACAGACGGATGGTCTGACATTCTCCTGTAGAATTCTCTGATACAGAGCAGAATTCATGGTTCCTTCTATTAAGGCAAGTCGTCCAGTGTTTTGTTTTCGCCAGGCATAATGGGACCCATCTCGTCCAAAAGGTTGACTCAAGTTTGCCAAAAAGCACCTGGATGATCATCAAGACTCTTGGAAGAACGTTCTATGGACAGATGATTCAAAAGTATAATTTTTTGGACTACATGGTTCCAGTAATGCCTGGCGAAAACCAAACTCTGCATTCCACAGTAAGAACATCATACCAAAGGTCAAGCATGGTGGGGGTGGTGGTGTGATGGTTTGGGGATGCTTTGCTGCCTCAGGACCTGGACAACTTGCCTTAATAGAAGGAACCATGAATTCTGCTCTGTATCAGAGAATTCTACAGGAGAATGTCAGACCATCCGTCTGTGAGCTGAAGCTGGAGCGCAGCTGGGTCATGCAGCAAGACAATGATCCAAAACACACAATCAAGTCTACATGAAAATTGCTAAAAAGCAACAAATTTGAAGTTTTGGAATGGCCTAGTCAAAGTCCAGACCTGATCCCAATTGAGATGTTGTGGCAGGACTTGAAACGAGCAGTTCATGCTTGAAAACCCACACGTCACTGAGTTAAAGCAGTTCTGCATGGAAGAGTGGGCCAAAATTCCTCCACAGCGACGTGAGAGACTGATCAACAACTACAGGAAGCATTTGGTTGGAGTCATTGCAGCTAAAGCTGGCACAACCAGTTATTGAGTGTAAGGGGGCAATTACTTTTTCACACAGGGGAATTGGGTGTTGCATAACTTTGTTTATGAAATAAATATGTAATTGTTGTGTTATTTGTTCACTTATGTTCCCTTTATCTAATATTAGGTTTTGGTTGAAGATCTGATAACATTCAGTATCACAAATATGCAAAAGTAGAGAAAGTTAGAAAGGGGGCAAATACTTTTTCATAGCACTTTATGTGTATGTGTGTGTGTGTCTCTGTGTGTGTATGTACCCTGGTGGGTAACCTCGGGGGCACACTGACCGACGGCAAAGAGCACGGGGCTGGCGCCCTCGCAGCGGCGCGGCCGGGTGCGGCTGTTACTCAGCACACCCCTCTGCTCGGGCATAAGATGGTACTTGAGGGCCTCGATGAGCAGGTCCTTGCACTCAGAGTGGTGGCGCACCAGCAGCTCCGTGTCCACATTGCTCATAAGGAAATCCCTCCGCAGCAGGGGCAGACGCACGCACTTCATCAGCTAGAGTGGGGAGGGGAAGGGGGAGGGGAGAGGGGGCAGACGCTTTTATCCAAAGCGACTTACACTACTGCGTGTATACATCCTCGTATGGGTGGCCTCAGCAGGAATGAAACCCACAATCCTGATGTTGTAAGTGCCATGCTCCACCAACTTAGCCACACAGGTGCACGTCTAATCTTACCCAGGGAACGTGCTGCCTGCGCCCATCTATGTCGTGTTTGACCCAGCTCAGCACGGCCCGGTATACCTCCTCTTCTGACGGTACGTTCAGGTTGTCACTGGAGATCAGATCCAATACCTTAACAGAAAGAGGGGGAGAGGGGAGATGGGGGAGGAGAGGAGAGGGAGAGAGAGGAGAGGAGAGAGAGAGAGAGAGAGAGAGAGAGAGAGAGAGAGGAGAGAGAGGAGAGGAGAGAGAGAGAGAGAGAGAGAGAGGAGAGAGAGAGGAGAGAGAGAGAGAGAGAGAGAGAGGAGAGAGAGAGGAGAGGAGAGAGAGAGAGGAGAGGAGAGAGAGAGAGAGAGACACTCATCACGTGGGATGGGCCACAACAGTTGGCACGACACAAAAAGAAAACATTAACTCATTCACCTTGGCATGTTAATTTTGGAAGGACTTGAAAAAGGTCAGTGTGGTGTACGCTTAAGTGGGTGTGTGTGCGCATGCTGCAGAGAGGCTAGCACTGTTCCCAGAGTGGGGTTGGGCTGGGCCGTAGTGGCCAGCTGCTGCTGAGATCAGTGGAATAGCAGCAGCCTCAGAGGAAGAGCATCAGCTAATCCACAGGAACTACAAAGATACACAGCACAGCACAGTCCAGTCAAGCACAACACAGTACAGCATAGCACAAAATGAACAGCCTCTGCTCCTCTAGTACTATTATTACCCTGCCCTGTATCCCCCTCAACATAACACATAGGCTACTGCAGCATATACAGACACAGTGCGTGTGTGTGTGCATCTGTCTGACATGTAAAGTGTACCTGTCACAAGTGTGTGAGAGAGCTAGCAAGAGACAGTATCTATATAACAAATGTCTGTGTACATCAGCCATGATGACACTGTGTAGTAGAATATGACCATGAGGTCCAGTCAAAACTCCAGTTCCCAGTCCCCTCGTCTAAAAGGAGGAAATCACAAGTTTCACAGCTCTGTGAGCTCAAAGATGCTCAGAGCAGTTGGTTAATAAATCCTACCCTGCTACAGAGCTGTGACGGGCAGAAGAGAAAGACAAGAGAGAGAGGCAACAAAAATAAAGAGATAGAGAGAGGAGAAATCAAAGGGAAAGAAAAGGGAGAGCAGCACCATAGCTGGCTGCCCGCAGCTCTGTTTCAGACGTCACCTAGCCATTTTACTCTTGGTTAATGGACTGTGCCCAATACATTTCATTATGGCGCGGGTCTGAGACTTGACAGTCTGGGAGAGATATTGATTGATTGAATTGACAATTTATTTGACCATTTTCAAAATACATACAGTACTAGTCAAAGGTTTGGACACACCTACTCATTCCAGGGTTTTTCTTCATTTTTACTATTTCCTACATTGTAGAATAATAGTGAAGACATCAAAACTATGAAATAACACATATGGAATCATGCAGTAACCAAAAAAGTGTTAAACAAATCAAAATATATTTTATATTTGAGATTCTTCAAAGTAGCCACCCTTTGCCTTGATGACAGCTTTGCACACGCTTCGCATTCTCTCAACCAGCTTCATGAGGTAGTCACCTGGAATGCATTTCAATTAACAGGTGTGCCTTGTTAAAAGTTAATTTGTGGAATTTCTTTCCTTCTTAATGCGTTTGAGCCAATCAGTTGTGTTGTGACAAGGTAGGGGTGGTATACAGAAGATAGCCCTATTTGGTAAAAGACCAAGTCCATATTAGAACAGCTCAAATAAGCAATGAGAAACGACAGTCCATCATTACTTTAAGACATGAAGGTCAGTCAATATGGAACATTTCAAGAACTTTGAAAGTTTCTTCAAGTGCAGTCGTAAAAACCATCAAGCGCTATGATGAAACTGGCTCTCATGAGGACCGCCACAGGAAAGGAAGACCCAGAGTTACCTCTACTGTAGAGGATACGTTCATTAGAGTTACCAGTCTCAGAAATCGCAGCCCAAATGCTTCACAGAGTTCAAGTAACAGACACATCTCAACATCAACTGTTCAGAGGAGACTGCATGAATCAGGCCTTCATGGTCAAATTGCTGCAAAGAATCCACTATTTAAAGGACACCAATAATAAGAACAGACTTGCTTGGGCCAAGAAACACAAGCAGTGGACATTAGACTGGTGGAACTCTGTCCTTTGGTCTGATGAGTCCAAATTTGAGATTTTTGGTTCCAACTGCCGTGTCTTTGTGAGACGCAGAGTAGATGAACGGATGATCTCTGCATGTGTGGTTCCCACCGTGAAGCATGGAGGAGGAGGTGTGATGGTGTGGGGGTGCTTTGCTGGTGACACTGTCAGTGATTTATTTAGAATTCAAGGCACACTTAACTAGCATGGCTACCACAGCATTCTGCAGCGATACGCCATCCCATCTGGTTTTGCGTTTAATGGGACTATAATTTATTTTTCAACAGGACAATGACCCAACACACCTCCAGGCTGTGTAAGGGCTATTTGACCAAGAAGGAGAGTGATGGAGTGCTGCATTAGATGACCTGGCCTCCACAATCACCCAACCTCAACCAATTGAAATGGTTTGGGATGAGTTGGACCGCAGAGTGAAGGAAAAGCAGCCAACAAGTGCTCAGCATATGTGGGAACTCCTTCAAGACTGTTGGACAAGCATTCCAGGTGAAGCTGGTTGAGAGAATGCCAAGTGTGTGAAAAGCTGTCATCAAGGCAAAGGGTGGCTATTTGAAGAATCTCAAATACAGTGGGGAAAAAAAGTATTTAGTCAGCCACCAATTGTGCAAGTTCTCCCACTTAAAAAGATGAGAGAGGCCTGTAATTTTCATCATAGGTACACGTCAACTATGACAGACAAATTGAGGGAAAAAAATCCAGAAAATCACATTGTAGGATTTTTAATGAATTTATTTGCAAATTATGGTGGAAAATAAGTATTTGGTCACCTACAAACAAGCAAGATTTCTGGCTCTCACAGACCTGTAACTTCTTCTTTAAGAGGCTCCTCTGTCCTCCACTCGTTACCTGTATTAATGGCACCTGTTTGAACTTGTTATCAGTATAAAAGACACCTGTCCACAACCTCAAACAGTCACACTCCAAACTCCACTATGGCCAAGACCAAAGAGCTGTCAAAGGACACCAGAAACAAAATTGTAGACCTGCACCAGGCTGGGAAGACTGAATCTGCAATAGGTAAGCAGCTTGGTTTGAAGAAATCAACTGTGGGAGCAATTATTAGGAAATGGAGGACATACAAGACCACTGATAATCTCCCTCGATCTGGGGCTCCACGCAAGATCTCACCCCGTGGGGTCAAAATGATCACAAGAACGGTGAGCAAAAATCCCAGAACCACACAGGGGGACCTAGTGAATGACCTGCAGAGAGCTGGGACCAAAGTAACAAAGCCTACCATCAGTAACACACTACGCCGCCAGGGACTCAAATCCTGCAGTGCAGACGTGTCCCCCTGCTTAAGCCAGTACATGTCCAGGCCCGTCTGAAGTTTGCTAGAGTGCATTTGGATGATCCAGAAGAGGATTGGGAGAATGTCATATGGTCAGATGAAACCAAAATAGAACTTTCTGGTAAAAACTTAACTCGTCGTGTTTGGAGGACAAAGAATGCTGAGTTGCATCTAAAGAACACCATACCTACTGTGAAGCATGGGGGTGGAAACATCATGCTTTGGGGCTGTTTTTCTGCAAAGGGACCAGGACGACTGATCCGTGTAAAGGAAAGAATGAATGGGGCCATGTATCGTGAGATTTTGAGTGAAAACCTCCTTCCATTAGCAAGGGCATTGAAGATGAAACGTGGCTGGGTCTTTCAGCATGACAGTGATCCCAAACACACCGCCCGGGCAACGAAGGAGTGGCTTCGTAAGAAGCATTTCAAGGTCCTGGAGTGGCCTAGCCAGTCTCCAGATCTCAACCCCATAGAAAATCTTTGGAGGGAGTTGAAAGTCCGTGTTGCCCAGTGACAGCCCCAAAACATCACTGCTCTAGAGGAGATCTGCATGGAGGAATGGGCCAAAATACCAGCAACAGTGTGTGAAAACCTTGTGAAGACTTACAGAAAACGTTTGACCTGTGTCATTGCCAACAAAGGGTATATAACAAAGTATTGAGAAACTTGTGTTATTGACCAAATACTTATTTTCCACCATAATTTGCAAATAAATTCATTAAAAATCCTACAATGTGATTTTCTGGATTTATTTTTCTCATTTTGTCTGTCATAGTTTATGTGTACCTATGATGAAAATTATAGGCCTCTCTCATCTTTTTAAGTGGGAGAACTTGCACAATTGGTGGCTGACTAAATACTTTTTTCCCCCACTGTATAAAATATATTTTGATTTGTTTAACACTTTTTTGGTTACTACATGATTCCATATGTGTTATTTCATAGTTTTGATGTCTTCACTATTATTCTAAAATGTAGAAAATAGTAAAAATAAAGAAAAACCTGGGAATGAGTAGGTGTGTCCAAACTTTTGACTGGTACTTTACATAAGGGCGCTCCAGCCAGTGAAGCCTCCAGATACAATCTAAGACAATCATCAAGGATAACACAATAAAGCTTAACAGCTTATTTCCATTGTGGTCCTTTTGAAGGGGGGAGGGGGAATGCAACAAGATTAGGTGCCAATTGTAATGGCAACAGACAATGACAGACAAAATTGTTGTTTGTTTTATAACATGAGATAATTAGTACAATTCCCTTTCCTAATAAACAACTTTGGACAGGTACATATCCCTTGTCTCACATACCCTTAATATATAAAACAATCAATACCTAATATATACAAGACAATCACAATATGATAAACAAGGCACCAAAAGGCAGACCATATGCTATCCGGGGCATTTCCTTCTCAGCCACGTACTATAATCTTACGACTCAATTTTGAGACATGCTACTATTTAGCAATTTTTTCAGTGGGAACTTGAAACCACCTGTGGAGGTTATACGTTTCAAATTCTTCGAAAGACTATTCCAAAGAATGGCAGCGGAGTATAAAAAAGTTTATTTCCCCATACCACTTTTAAATCTAAAAAGGTACAACGTCAGTTTCACTCCTTCTAGTGGAATAGTTATGGTTATCCCTTCCTAAGTTAAAGTAGTTACATAGGTACCTGGGGACCATACTGTGGACAATCTTATGTACAATACTATTTAATCTGAGAGACTCTCTCCTCCACTTTGAGCCATCTAAGGCTTTCAAAGTGGGAATAGTCAAGATGCGTAAGTGCTGGAGGTTTAAGAATAATCCTGACTAATTTGTTCTGCGATGTCTGCAATTTATTTTGTATTATCTTGGGAGCACTGTTGTACCAGGAAGAGCACACATAGTCAAAGTGGCACTGAACAAGAACCCCTGCCAATCCCCCTATTGCATTCTTATCCAGATATTTGGAGGTTCTTGCCAGAAACCTAATTTTATGGTTCACTTTGGAGATAAAGTTTTGTGCCATGCTCTCCCCTGTCAGATGGTTATCTAGCACACATCCAAGATACTTAACAGAGTATTTTGCTGCGTCTACTATGTCACCTACTACCACCTTAAAATCTGGGGATTTCCTCAGTTTCAGTTTGGACCAGAACAAGATGGATTCTGTTTTTCCAAGGTGAAGTGACAGCTTACTGTCATGTTGCCATTTACTGACATTCAGAAGTTCAGCACTGAGGGCTTTCTCAACCACCTTTTTGTCTTTGTGGGACACCAGCAGCGCAGAATCATCTGCATATAGGAAAAGGTCACATGTACAGGCAGATTTCAGATCATTTATCTACAATAGAAAGGAAAGTGGACCCAGCACACTCCCTTGGGGTACCCCGCAGTTCAAGATTTTGGATTTAGACAGGGTCCCATCCACATCCACCATTTGTTTTCTTCCTTGCAGGTAAGAGCTAACCCATTTTACTGCTAAGTTGTTAAAGCCCATGGCTCTTAGCTTGATTAACAAAATCTCATGATCCACTGTATCAAACGCCTTTTGGAGATCTAACATAACCATACCACAAAATGTCCCTCTGTCTACTTCCTTCCTTATGTGGTCAGTTAGATATAGTAGGCAAGTGTCGGTGGAATGGGATTTCCTAAAGCCAGATTGGAGCTCATAGAATAGGTTATGTAAGGAAATATAACTGTCAATCTGCTCAAACATAATATTTTCCATGACCTTCGATAAAACACACAGGATTGAGACAGGCCGATAGTTTCCATGATCTAACTTATTCCCTTTTTATATAAAGGAATTACCCTTGCAAGTTTTAGTTCACTGGGAAAACACCCTAGTTCAATAGACAGATTTACAATGTGAGTTACACAGGGGGTGATAATTACCGCAGCATCCCTTAGAAATCTAGCAGGAATGTTGTCAAGGCCAGTTGCTTTGGAATGGTCAAGTTCTTTCAGCTTCTTTAGCACAGTTGACTCAGACACCTTTTCAAATGAAAATGCTGTGTTTACACTCATGGAGGGGATCCACCCCTGTAGTGTTCTGGTCAGGAAGAAAAACATTTTATAGCCCCCGCCTAACAGCTGTTAGAATTTTGGGGGAGATATGGATGAAAATACCCTCAAATTAAAGCTGACAGTCTGCACTTTAACCTCATAGTCATTGTATCATTTCAAATCCAAAGTGCTTGATTACAAAGCCAAAACAACAATAAATGTGCCACTGTCCCAATACCTTTGGAGCTCACTGTATGTGATCGTATACAAATGTAAACAAGGTTTGAAAATATCATGTTTTAGTCAAATGTTATACAGTATCTGTTAAAGCTTCTTGCGGTCAATTTGCAGTCTACAAATTATTTATAATTATGTTCCGGCCCCCTGATCATCTATTCAATTAAAAAATAAATACATTTAAAAATCGGCCCGCGGCTGAATCTAGTTGATAATCCCTGGCCTAACCTGTCATGTCTCCGACCCAATCTCTTTAAACTTATTTTCACTAATAACACACCTAGGTACAGTGAGGGGAAAAAAGTATTTGATCCCCTGCTGATTTTGTACGTTTGCCCACTGACAAAGACATGATCAGTCTATAATTTTAATGGTAGGTTTATTTGAACAGTGAGAGACAGAATAACAACAACAAAATCCAGAAAAATGTATGTCAAAAATGTTATAAATTGATTTGCATTTTAATGAGGGAAATAAGTATTTGACCCCTCTGCAAAACATGACTTGGCAATCACAGCGGTCAGATGTTTCTTGTAGTTGGCCACCAGGTTTGCACACATCTCAGGATGGATTTTGTCCCACTCCTCTTTACAGATCTTCTCCAAGTCATTAAGGTTTTGAGGCTGACGTTTGGCAACTCGAATCTTCAGCTCCCTCCACAGATTTTCTATGGGATTAAGGTCTGGAGACTGGCTAGGCCACTCCAGGACCTTAATGTGCTTCTTCTTGAGCCACTCCTTTGTTGCCTTGGCCGTGTGTTTTGGGTCATTGTCATGCTGGAATACCCATCCACTACCCATTTTCAATGCCCTGGCTGAGGGAAGGAGGTTCTCACCCAAGATTTGACGGTACATGGCCCCGTCCATCGTCCCTTTGATGCGGTGAAGTTGTCCTGTCCCCTTAGCAGAAAAACACCCCCAAAGCATAATGTTTCCACCTCCATGTTTGACGGTGGGGATGGTGTTCTTGGGGTCATAGGCAGCATTCCTCCTCCTCCAAACACGGCGAGTTGGTTGATGCCAAAGAGCTCGATTTTGGTCTCATCTGACCACAACACTTTCACCCAGTTCTCCTCTGAATCATTCAGATGTTCATTGGCAAACTTCAGACGGGCCTGTATATGTGCTTTCTTGAGCAGGGGGACCTTGCGGGCGCTGCAGGATTTCAGTCCTTCACGGTGTAGTGTGTTATCAATTGTTTTCTTGGTGACTATGGTCCCAGCTGCCTTGAGATCATTGACAAGATCCTCCCGTGTAGTTCTGGGCTGATTCCTCACCGTTCTCATGATCATTGCAACTCCACGAGGTGAGATCTTGCATGGAGCCCCAGGCCGAAGGAGATTGACAGTTATTTTGTGTTTCTTCCATTTGCGAATAATCGCACCAACTGTTGTCACCTTCTCACCAAGCTGCTTGGCGATGGTCTTGTAGCCCATTCCAGCCTTGTGTAAGTCTACAATCTTGTCCCTGACATCCTTGGAGAGCTCTTTGGTCTTGGCCATGGTGGAGAGTTTGGAATCTGATTGATTGATTGCTTCTGTGGACAGGTGTCTTTTATACAGGTAACAAACTGGGATTAGGAGCACTCCCTTTAAGAGTGTGCTCCTAATCTCAGCTCGTTACCTGTATAAAAGACACCTGGGAGACAGAAATCTTTCTGATTGAGAGGGGGTCAAATACTTATTTCCCTCATTAATATGCAAATCAATTTATAACATTTTTTACATGCGTTTTTCTGGATTTTTTTGTTGTTATTCTGTCTCTCACTGTTCAAATAAACCTACCATTAAAATTATAGACTGATCATGTCTTTGTCAGTGGGCAAACGTACAAAATCAGCAGGGGATCAAATACTTTTTTCCCTCACTGTATGCCTCTAAGACCAACTCAGACCCTAACACAGACTATTGACTCCAACACCTCAAATCTGCCCAAAGGATTAATGGAGCGTTCACTTCTTTCCACATGATGCTAGTTTGCTAACTGTCCCATTCAATCTAATGGTCTCCTGGCATCTTGTAACAACACATACACCATGGCTGTGTTCAAGGCTGATTACATTGCAGACGCATGCCAGATCTCACAACACCTAACTAGCTAACCACATCACATGATATAGCAATGAGATGCCCGACTGTGCAGTCGATGACATGACAAGCAACGATTGGTAGCAAGTAATGTCTGCAATGTAGTCGGCCTGGAACGTGCCCATCTTTGGCAGTGCTCTGCCTAATTACCATTTCGAGGGTATGACCCTCAACAGGGCTGTCATAGGACAAGTCCAGACAATGAATAAGTGACTGCTACGCTGAGTTGATGTGACAGAAAACTATGATGAGTAAAACTACAAGAGACACTGATTGACAAGGAGCTGAGGATGTCTTTGTCTAGTGAGTGTTGAAAAGGCACTACGCACTTGTCTTTGCTGCTTGCTCTTTGAAGGCCCTTGAGCGGGTTGAGGAAAGGTTAGAACACGACCAGATGTGCTCCTCTTTTTGCCGGAAAAGGGGTGAGAGAGAGTGTCAGAGAGGGAGAGTCGGAGAGGGAGGAGACTAATGCTAAGCTAACCTATCTCAGTGTGCATCTGACCTTGTTTGTCTGTCAATTTACCATTTAAAATACAAACTACCAGAGAAGTGAACAGCACTCACCAGTGTTATTTTCCTAGTGTGTCTACAGCTTGCAGTCTCCCAACATCAGCACGCAAGTCAAAGTGCACCAAAAGTGCCCTGATAGCTTTCAACAATTCCAATGCAACTCATTAGCTAAAGGAGATCCCAATGCTGCCACTAAATGCCACATCAAGTCGTTCTGTGAGGAAACGCATATAACATGCTATTTCAGTACTCTTTCTGGCCCCTACCTGCTTTAGCGGCAGCAGCATGAACTCCTCAGTCTTGGACACCTCCACAAAGTGCTGCAGGACGTACTTGTGCGCAGACTTGAGCAGGTCGCTGCAGGAGTGCGTGTCGGCAAAGCTGCGGATGCCCAGGCAGTTGGAAGGGTCCAGCTGGCTGAGGAGGAACTTACAGCAGGCATCCCTCACCCCGTTGAGCTGCAGCAGGCTGGCCGCTGGGAGCAATGTCTGGAAGTCGAATTGGATGGAGTGATATAGGACATGATGTAGAATGTGGCAGAATGATATGGGATGGAATGTGAGGAATGGTATAGGATGGTACAGTACAGGGTCGGAGGCAATAGGTTTATGGTGTGATGGGAAAGGATGGGATTTGACAGTATATAAAATGGTTAGGAACATAAATACTTTTACGAAGTCATGTAAGTATCAGTATCTTATTGTGGAATACTTTAAAGGTTTTGAAGGGCAATTACTTAGCTCCAAATGACTTCAGAGGTAAGTAGACAAAGCTATTACAACAAGAGTCAAATACATCGTGCCTTCCACAAACTTCCGAGTAACTCTCATGTTAACCCTTTGCTAGGTACACCAGTGGTCAGAGAAAATGATATGCTTCAAAAAAGTGTTCAAGACTAACATTTAGAATAATGATGGTACATTAGGGCTGCGTCACAAATGGTGGCTTTCCCTACATACTACTTTTCACCAGAGTACTATGCAATGCACACAAGTAATGCACTCTATAGGGAATAGGGTGTTATTTTAGATGCAGTAGTCTTTTCTCCCTACCTGCACGTTGCCCTCCCCCACCACGATTTCTGCCGTGTAGGCATACTGAACCAGCTGTTCCAACGCCTGGGGGTCAATGTCATGCAGGGTCACGTGGGTCTGGCGACTCTCCGACATCTCATCTGTATGACCAGAGGCAGACAACAGAGTTTTCCACTTAATAAAGTCTGCAGTGCCTGTGCCTGTGTGGACAATCCAATACAACACTCATATCTACATTTAACTGAAAGAAATAAGGGTGTGTGTGTGTGTGTTTAATGTGGAATACTCTATTGTCACATACAGTATATCTCACATAGACCACTTCGATTTCCCATAATACACAAATTCTTATAGAGCAGTCACTGCATAGCACTATGACGTTTTCTATAATTTGTAGCAGTCTGTGTGATCAATTGTTTTGACTGTCAGACAATCTTTGTGTAATTCCGATTCCTGGATCTATGCAGCGCTTGCACTAAGCCAAACACTGGTGAAGAAGCATGATTACAGCAGCATGGAAGGGAGTTCAATTGTGCCAACAAGTAGAAAGAGCCATCACACACGCACAAGCACGCCAGCATTTTGGTTATATTGATTAGATTGTCGGCTATATCAGCAGATTTGAATAGGCCTAGGTTTAAAGCATGGTCAGTTGAAAAGAAGCCTAGTGGGAAGTCTTAAAGCCTCTCTCTCCAGGGACATACCCTCACAAAGCTCTAGTCTGAGCTGCAGGAAGGAGGAGGAAAACTGGGACACACACCTCACCTGGTGACCTATGACCCCAACAGGAAAGAGAACGCACACAGACAACAGGGAGGAGGAAGGAAATGGTCACTGGTGAGGAAGTAAGAGCAAACAAATGAGGTGAGATGCCACTCACACATTGAGAGAAATGTAGCACAGTTCAATGCACAGTTCATTCAAGCATCAACCAAGAATCACCACAAACATGTCACACACCACTTTGTTCATGGTTCTAATAATTTAAACACATCCAATTCATTTATATTCCGTAGCAATGGAGAATCGTGCAATCTTCAATAGTGTAATGAGGCGTGGAAGAGAGACAGGTAGGGTAAAGAGAGGGAGACGGTGACTCAAAGGGGGTGACTAACACTAGTGGTGAACACTTGTGAGGGCGTGGAGGAACCGAAGAGCAGTGTCAGTAGCAGGGAGCGCGAACTCCGCAGAGGGATATTTACTTGTAAACATGGCATGGAAGTAGGGACTGCAGGAGGCCAGCACCACCTTGTGCGCCTTGATCTCCTTGTTGGAGACATGCAGCACGATGTCGCAGAGCAGGCCGCGCTGGCGCATCCTGTTCATGGACACGAACGAGTCGTGGTAGTGACGCTTGGAGTTGTGCGAGATGCTGTGGCCGTCACGGTTCAGCAGCTGCATGCCCCCTTCCATCATGGTGCCGTGCTCAGCAGCAGCCGGCTCCTGCCTGGGCCTCACTCTTGGCGACTGCAACACACAAGAAGAGCCATTTTGGTTTATTCCATACAAATACAACACAATTAAATTGACCCCAATTTGATAAAATAATAATTTACCCAGGGGGTAATTGTATCTAACTGTGTCATCTGAAAAGTGTTAGTGTTGTCACGATACCAGAATTTTGACTTCGATACCGGTACCAGGTTTAATATCACAATCACGATACTCTATACCAAAATTATACCACGGCAACAAAAAAAAAGGCTTATTAGCCAATTGTTTGGTATCTTCAGTATCATTATATTAGATTTTATTTACGTCAACATTTTTCAGAGACAGCCACGTATGCATTTATGTATCAATTATACAATCAATTTGACTTTGTTTTTCCCAATCTAACAACATAATGGTAATTATTTATTTGAATGGTAAATCTCTATAGATGAGAATGGCGCTGCAATGGATAGCTGCCGTTTTACAGGCTCCTGACCAATTCTGCTATTTTGTGAGGTTTTTTTGCCCTGATCTTAACTTTTTCTGTACCGACATCTTTTCTTATGACCAAAAAGAGCTTCTGGACATCAGAACAGCAATCACTAACCTTGATTTGTATGAATATTTCTACTTCAACAAGTCGCTGATGCAGGATAAACGGCTCACCCCGGACAAGGCCCTAATCCCTGAGACTCGGAAAAGGAAGATATTGCGTAAGAGAGGCCGATGTGCGGGCACCCTGACGAAACTACGTTGGTGAGTAAATAAACCGCCTCTTCCCTCCGTTCTATTGGCAAAATAACAAATCACTGGAGAACTGTATTATCCTATGTTTCTCAGAGTCGTGGCTGAACAAGGACATGGATAATATACATCTAGTTGGTTTTCTAAGCATCATCAGGACAGAACGGCAGCCTTAGGTAAACTCAAGGGGGAGGTGTGTCTCTTTGTTAACAACAGCTGGTGCGCAATCTCTAATATTAAGGAAGTCTTGAGGTTCTGCTCACCTGAGTTAGAATACCTCATGATAAGCTGTAGACCATACTATTTACCAAGAGAGTTTTCATCTATATTTTTCGTAGATGTCCATTTTCCACCACAAGCCGATGCTGGCACTAAGACCGCACTCAACGAGCTGTAAAGGGCCATAAGCAAACAATAAAATGATCATCCAGAGGAGGCTCTCCTAGTGGCTGGTGATTTGAATGCAGTTACATTTGAATCAGTTTTACCTCATTTCTACCAGCATGTAACCTGTGCAACTACAGGAGACAAAACTTTGTTTACGAAGCATGTGACAAATAAAATGTGCGCTCTCTCTAACCAGTAATGACATCAAGGCAAGAGGGGGGTGGCCCGTTGGAGCACAGTCAATTCGCTGAGGCAATAGATCATCTTTGGGAGAGATGTGAGAGAGACCAAATAAGTGAATGAATAAAGTATTTCGTGACAATCAGCTTTGAAATCAGCATATTTTGCGTTATGGTTTGCACATTATCACAAACATAGTACTAGGGTAGTGAATTGATGTTAGCTTTAGCTGTCAGCTAAGAGGGAAAGTTAGCCTACAATAGCTGGAAGCTACCGGTATCTTCATGCATTGTAAGGTCTTCTCGCCTGTATGGACATTGTTTTGCTGAGCAAGAGGACAAATACATTAGAGTGTCTAGTTTGAGAAACAGACGCCTCACAGATCCTCAACTGGCAGCTTCATTAAATAGTAACCGCAAAACACCAGTCTCAATGTCAACAGTGAAGCGGCGACTCCGAGATGCTGACCTTCTAGGCAAAGTTGCAAAGAAAAAGCCATATCTCAGACTGCCCATCTTAATCTTTTCTTTTTATTGACCAGTCTGAGATATGGCTTTTTCTTTGCAACTCTGCCTAGATGGTCAGCATCCCGGAGTCGCCTCTTCACTGTTGACGTTGAGACTGGTGTTTTGCGGGTACTATTTAATGAAGCTGCCAGTTGAGGATCTGTGAGGCGTCTGTTTCTCAAACTAGACACTCTAATGTATTTGTCCTCTTGCTCAGATGTGGTCCTCTGTAGCTCTTGGTCCTCTGTAGCTCAATTGGTAGAGCATGGCGCTTGTAACGCCAGGGTAGTGGGTTCGATCCCCGGGACCACCCATACGTAAAAATGTATGCACACGACTGTAAGTCGCTTTGGATAAAAGCGTCTGCTAAATGGCATATTATTATTATTATTATTATTATTATGTGCACCGGGGCCTTCCACTCCTCTTTCTATTCTGGTTAGAGCCAGTTTGCGCTGTTCTGTGAAGGGAGTAGTACACAGCTTTGTACGAGATCTTCAGTTTCTTGGCAATTTCTCGCATGGAATAGCCTTAATTTCTCAGAACAAGAATAGACTGATGAGTTTCAGAAGAAAGTTATTTGTTTCTGGCCATTTTGAGCCTGTAATCAAACCCACAATTGCTGATGCTCCAGATATTCAACTAGTCTCAAGAAGGCCAGTTTTATTGCTTATTTAAATCAGCACAACAATTTTCAGCTGTGCTAACATAATTGCAAAAGGGTTTTCTAATAATCAATTAGCCTTTTAAAATGATAAACTTGGATAAGCAAACACAACGTGCCATTGGAACACAGGACTGATGGTTGTTGATAATGAGCCTCTGTACGCCTATATATTTTCCATTAAAAATCTGCCGTTTCCAGCTACAATAGCCATTTACAATATTAACATTGTCTACACTGTATTTCTGATCAATTTGATGTTATTTTAATGGACAAAGAAAATACTTTGCTTTCGAAAACAAGGACATTTCTAAGTGACCCCAAGCTTTTGAACGGTAGTGTATGTGATTATGTCTTGTACCAGAATTAGCTCATCGCCAGCTGCAGCCTTTCGAAGGATGTATGAGGTAAAGAAGCACGCACACAACATTTTCCTTTGGACTCTCTCATCCGGTGAATTCTCACGTTAAGAGTTATCACGTAACATCAGAATGTTGTATAACCATCTAGACACCCTATACTGTGTCTTACTAATTGTGTTCAAATTAATATTTAAATTCCTGTCAACTGTATGTTACGCCACCACCAGTGGCTAAAAGGTGCCATTTCTACCAAATGTGGCATACAGTGGGGAAAAAAAGTATTTAGTCAGCCACCAATTGTGCAAGTTCTCCCACTTAAAAAGATGAGAGAGGCCTGAAATTTTCATCATAGGTACACGTCAACTATGACAGACAAAATGAGAAAAAAAATCCAGAAAATCACATTGTAGGATTTTTAATGAATTTATTTGGAAATTATGGTGGAAAATAAGTATTTGGTCAATAACAAAAGTTTCTCAATACTTTGTTATATACCCTTTGTTGGCAATGACACAGGTCAAACGTTTTCTGTAAGTCTTCACAAGGTTTTTACACACTGTTGCTGGTATTTTGGCCTATTCCTCCATGCAGATCTCCTCTAGAGCAGTGATGTTTTGGGGCTGTCGCTGGGCAACACGGACTTTCAACTCCCTCCAAAGATTTTCTATGGGGTTGAGATCTGGAGACTGGCTAGGCCACTCCAGGACCTTGAAATGCTTCTTACGAAGCCACTCCTTCGTTGCCTGGGCGGTGTGTTTGGGATCATTGTCATGCTGAAAGACCCAGCCACGTTTCATCTTCAATGCCCTTGCTGATGGAAGGAGGTTTTCATTGAAAATCTCACGATACATGGCCCCATTCATTCTTTCCTTTACACGGATCAGTCGTCCTGGTCCCTTTGCAGAAAAACAGCCCCAAAGCATGATGTTTCCACCCCCATGCTTCACAGTAGGTATGGTGTTCTTTGGATGCAACTCAGCATTCTTTGTCCTCCAAACACGACGAGTTTAGTTTTTACCAAAAAGTTATATTTTGGTTTCATCTGACCATATGACATTCTCCCAATCCTCTTCTGGATCATCCAAATGCAATCTAGCAAACTTCAGACGGGCCTGGACATGTACTGGCTTAAGCAGGGGGACACGTCTGGCACTGCAGGATTTGAGTCCCTGGCGGCGTAGTGTGTTACTGATGGTAGGCTTTGTTACTTTGGTCCCAGCTCTCTGCAGGTCATTCACTAGGTCCCGCCGTGTGGTTCTGGGATTTTTGCTCACCCTTCTTGTGATCATTTTGACCCCACGGGGTGAGATCTTGCGTGGAGCCCCAGATCGAGGGAGATTATCAGTGGTCTTGTATGTCTTCCATTTCCTAATAATTGCTCCCACAGTTGATTTCTTCAAACCAAGCTGCTTACCTATTGCAGATTCAGTCTTCCCAGCCTGGTGCAGGTCTACAATTTTGTTTCTGGTGTCCTTTGACAGCTCTTTGGTCTTGGCCATAGTGGAGTTTGGAGTGTGACTGTTTGAGGTTGTGGACAGGTGTCTTTTATACTGATAACAAGTTCAAACAGGTGCCATTAATACAGGTAACGAGTGGAGGACAGAGGAGCCTCTTAAAGAAGAAGTTACAGGTCTGTGAGAGCCAGAAATCTTGCTTGTTTGTAGGTGACCAAATACTTTTTTTCCACCATAATTTGCAAATAAATTCATTAAAAATCCTACAATGTGATTATCTGGATTTTTTTTTTCTCATTTTGTCTGTCATAGTTGACATGTACCTATGATGAAAATTACAGGCCTCTCTCATCTTTTTAAGTGGGAGAACTTGTACAATTGATGGCTGACTAAATACTTTTTTCCCCCACTGTATTTGATCATGGCCCACCGTAGGAAAACACCACTTCAGCAAATGGGATTATGCTATTATATTATTATAGCCTAGGCCCTATAGCGTGAATATAGGCTACCTTTGACAGTGCTGCAAAGGGTCCATATGGCCCACATTAGCTACAAGACTGCTGCGACTCAGTAGTATCTTTTGGGACCATACTGGAAGTAAATCAAATTAAGCTTTATTAATATAGCACATTTCAGACATGAATGCAACACAATGCACTTCACAGGATTTAAAAAAAAAAAAAACAATGAAGATACAAAAATAAAATACACAATATGGCCAAAAGTATTTGGA